GAGGGTGGTGTTGCCTACCTTCTCCATAGCCTTCCCCATCCTTCCACCTTTGCACGCGTACTTAAATTCCTCCATGGTTGTAATTAGCTCTCAGCTGCCTTATTTGCTTATTCATCCCTCACTCCACTAGTTCCATAGTAGGAAACCTGAACTATTCCTATTTATTTGTACATGCTTGGGACATAGGACCAAGAGTTATTAGTTGAACGACTGGATGGATGGATGAATGACTGTTTCAAGGGAGCCATTTAAAATGTAGATTCTCACTGAACGCTTAGGTTTCAGGGTAATGGCTGTGTTCACTTGCTCAGCAATAGCAGAGCACACTTTCGCTACCTGCTAGCGTTTGGCTCCTCAGCTTTGTTTAATGGAAAATGTGGTACTGGGGCAACAGTAATGAGTTAAAAAAACAGGCAAGTTTGCAACAGCAGTCCTTTACTGCGGCAAAAAATAATCTGAGCCAACCACACCCTCAATCACTGTTGCTGGCAATGACAGGAGTTAAAAGGAGAATCAAAACGATTTTATTGAAACACCGTGGCATCCGGCATTTATTATGGTGCATGCTCAGTTCCTGTTACTATTTTTGTAGCTAATAACTTATCAGTTTTTTCAATAATTGATATTATATATTTAATATATATATAAATTTCTCATTACTTAGATACAAGTGTAATGAAAGATTGCTAAGTCTAAGACCAGAAGTAAATGTGGCCTAAAAAAGCGAGTTTGATGAATTTCTTTTCTTGAGCTGGCTGCGCATCTGACTAAATCAACGAATCCACACAGGTGTTTGGGTGTCAAGTTCATGTTGCCTAAGTCACATCCTCAAGCTAGAAAAGTAGTTCCTCTTAATTTCATGCCATTTTGTTAATACTTGCCAAATTTCTGGCAATCGGTTCACTTAAAACTTATTTGGATGTCTAATGGTTTGCAAATTGTGTATTTTCAAAGTAACAGCCACCCTATCCTATGTGCCACACACACACACACACACTGCACATTTTATAACTTTATACTTGAAGACTTAAAAGTCTCCCTTTGATTGACTAGCAGTGTTGAAAATGATGGGTCATATCTACAACACAAAATCAATTGACAAAAATATTGAATGGCTTTAAAAGGGAAAAGCATCTCTGAATTAGGTTTGTAAAGGAACATCTTTAATTTTTGTTAAAGTCTATTTTCTGTTCTTAGTTTTTTGTCTTATTCTTAGTTCTTTTTGTTCTTAGTTTTTTTATATAGAGATGGCAGTCTCAATGTGTTGCTTAGGCTGGTCTCAAACTCCTGGCCTCAAGTATCCTCCCACCTTGGCCTCCCAAAGTACTGGCATTACAGGCAGGAGCCACTATGCCCGGCCCAGTGTTTTGTTTTTCAATAAACTTTGTTTTCTTTTTTGTTTGTTTAGTCTTACCAGACCAAATTATTTTCATTAAGAGTTATGGTCAGAGTTGGAGCTTGGGAGCAGTAAGAAGGAACAGGTTATATATAATTAAAGCACTGTTTCCCTAATACCTGTTTGTAAACCATGGTTTTGGTTTTTGTTTTTCAGCATACCCATTTTTCTCAATAGGCTATTTTGCTGAAAAGTTTTTAGAAAGTTCTATTAAAAAATAACTGGCCGGGTGCGGTGGCTCCCACCTGTAATCTCAGCATTTTAGGAGGCTGAGGTGGGTGGATCACGAGATCAGGAGTTTGAGACCAGCCTGACCAATATGGTGAAACCCCATCTCTACCAAAAATACAAAAATTAGCCGGGCATGGTGGCATGCACCTGTAATCCCAGCTACTTGGGAGGCTGAAGCAAGAGAATCACTTAAACCCAGGAGGGGAGGTTGCAGGAGCAGAGATCGCACAGTTGCCCTCCAGGCTGAGCAACAGACAGAGCAAGACTCCCTCTTAAATAAATAAGTAAATAAGTAAGTAACCAAAGTCTTATACTTAATAGATTTTTAGTAACTTTGTTAAATGAATGTCAGACACAAAGCTGATGCCCGTATTTGGAAATGATGTTGCTGAAGTTTTGATGAGGACATTTAAAGTTATGGATGGTAATTAAGTCTTACATTACGACTTGACTATGAAACAGTATAGTCAATGCAGCTCTGTAAAAGGAGCAATAAAGATAGACCAGTCATGACTGGGTGCTTTTCTTCTTAATCATTCAGAGGAAGAAGCAAAAAAGAGAGTTAACACATTTTCAATACCTATTTGCCACTCAGTAACTCAGGAACTTCAGAGATCTCACTTAATTCTTTCAGCAAAACAGGTTACAAATAAAGAATCTGACATTCATAGAAGTTTGGAAATCCACACAATATCAAACAGAGAGAAGAGTTGGGGGATGGAGGGATTGGGGATTAAACCCAAGACTGCCAGGCTCCAAGGCAGTTTCCACTGCAGTGTCTACTGTATTTGGAACTTTCAACAGGTAGTTCTAGTAGCCTTTTGGAAGAAAGTGTAGAAAAAAGTTTCAAAGTCATTCTTTTTTTTTTGAGACAGAGTCTCACTCTGTCACCCAGGCTGGAGTGCAGTGGCGCGATCTCCACTCACTGCAGCCTCCCTGTCCCGAGTTCAAGGTGTTCTCCTGCCTCGGCTTCCTGAGGAGCTAGGATTACAGGTGCGCACCACCAAGTCCAGATACTTTTTGTAGTTTTAGTAGAGATGGGGTTTCACCGTGTTGGTCAGGCCGGTCTCAAACCCCTGACCTAGTGATCCGCCAGCCCTGGCCTCGTAAAGTGCTGGGATTACAGGCGTGAGCCACTGAGCCCTCCCCAAAGTCATTCTTAGGATCGGTTTGCTTCCTGGTTCCTAACCAACCAAATGGATCCAAGTGAGGCCACTTTGTAAACAGGTTGGTCTCCAAATTAATGAACACAGCAGATTCTGTGGCCTTTTCAGAAACTTTGTCCTGCAGGTCTAATATGGTCTGTTACTGAGGGGAAGTGGAGATTGTTGAGACTGTAGGCACCCTTACTTTCTCTCTCACTTAGCAATTTTTTTTTTAAGACAAGGTCTTGCTCTGTCACCCAGGATGGAGTGCAGCTCACTGCAGCCTCAACCTGCTGGGCTCAAGTCATCTTCACACCTCAGCCTTCTAAGTAGCTGGGATTACAGGTGTGAGCCACCAGGCCCCACAGTAGCAATCCTTTTCTTAAACCAGAAGCAGGACAAATGTTTTCCTGAGGATTCATAACACCTGGTGGTGGTCCCAACTCCTTTTGAGCTTGTTTACGACTGAGTTTCCAGTTAGATAAGACAAGGAAAGAAGAAACTCCAGAGCTTAGTAGTTAAGGGCACATATGGAGTAAGACAACCCTGGGTATGAATCCAGGCTCTGCTGTGGTATTAAGGTGTTACATCGGCTACGTTATGCTTTCTATGTCCTTTCTGTAAAATGGGTATAATAATCATGTCTAAGTCATGGGGATTTTGTGAGCATTAAATGAAATGCCTGTTAAAATGCCTGGCACATTTGTGGGAAGTAGAAAAGTTTCTTTTTAAAGTTTCCTTTCTTGTTAAATAAGTGTGCTAATAACTTTCTTAAGCCCTATCCCATGTAGCTGTTAAATATGCCACACTTACAGGCACGTAGTACACTCTATGTCCTTGTACTTTAACCAAGATATCTGTGCTGGATGTGCTCACAGGCATGTCCCAGCTCTCCATTGCTTTTACCTGTTTAGAAAGTTTTAAGTTGTTATCCAATCAGGTTTTAGTTTAGATTGTGAGGTCTGGCTCCAGCCGACGGAGATCAGACACAGCAGTGAGGATGACCCCAAATGCATAAGGAATAAATTTTGTTCTTTGTATTCTCGTGGCAAGATGGCTAGTGAGAGTACCCTTCCTGAAGTCCAGGAAGTAAAAATTGTGTTGCTATAAGATCCTTTGTCTTAGTGCTAACTTTTCTTTGCAGCATTGAGCATCTATTTCCAACAACATTGAAAGTTCTTTTCGGAGATAGTCTCAGTTTGTTGCCCAAGCTGGAATGCAGTGACACGATCTCTGCTCACTACAGCCTCTGCCTCCTGGGTCCAAGTGATTTGATGCCTCAGCCACCTGAGTAGCTGGGATTACAGGCATGCGCCAACACTCACCCAGTTTTTGTATTTTTAGTAGAGATGGAGTTTCGCCATGTTGACCAGGGTGGTCTGGAATTCCTGATCTCAGGTGATCTGCCCGCCTTGACTTCCCAAATTATTAGGATTACAGACTTGAGCCACTGCCTTGGGCCAAAAGTATTTCTTATTGATGTCCACATTTAACAATTACTAAGTTATGTGGTTTTTTTTTTTGCATCCAGCTGTAAATGATCCTCAAAGTTGTGAACTCGGAAAATCTCAGAGACATTTATAGGCTTTGCAACCAGAGATGATATTTATAATTCTAAGAAGCAAACAGAAATCCTTAAGAGAATACCTTTCAAGCTAAGTTCCCATCCAGTATGGAGTGGTGGCTTCGGATGATCCTTTTGACTTATCTTTTTAAGTATAAGATTTTTTGATGAATCACACTTGGTCGGATTTGGTCATTTTCACCAAAATATAAAACTAGTCTGCCACCAGACGAAATTCAAGAACCTTGAGACTCAGAGAAGTAATGCTGCCTGATTGGTGAACAGCCAGAATTCAGGGGAGGTCAGACGTGGCTCTTCGGATCAGGACATGGGAATGTGGTGGAAATGAGATCCTCTAGCGATTCTAAGGAGTGTTTTGTTTTTCTGGCTTCAGAGAAAGGGAGATGACAGAATCAAGGGAAGAGAGGGAGGCCCAGCCATTGTCTGACGTGAGGCATGAGAAAACACTAGAGGGCTGGTTTAGCAAAGGGCAAGGTAGAGTTGGCAGAAGAGGCGCCTGCAGAGGGGGGCGGGCAAGAGCTACAGGCCGCGAAAGACACTCGAGCAGCCTGGGCTCACGTCTAGTAAGGTTTATGCCGCCTGTTCCCGCCATCTGGCAACTCCCTCACAGAAGGGTGAGTTTGGTTCCTGGCAAGCCCTATTCGGACACACAAGCTCTTTTATTAAAATATAACCCCACTGACAGATTGCGGAGTAGGCACAGAGGCCCCAAAGCACCCCCCGGAAACCGCAGAGGTCCCGCCCCGCCGCTCAGCAGCTCAGTGTAGCGGCCAGAAGTTCTCCTCCCCCGGATCTTGGCTCCCTCCTGGGGCGCGCAAGCGTGTCGTCGCCCGCGCCAGTCCAATCAGAGCGCGCGACTAAAATAGCGCGGTATAAAAGCTGGACGGCTGGCAGGGCTGGTGCAGACTCGCGCTGGGGCGGGGTTGCGCGCGCAGGTGAGGGGGGCGGGGCCGGCGCCACCGGCGGGGCGGGGCAGCCACACCCACCGCGCACCTGCTTCTGCCTGACGTGGATCCGGAAGGTCGTCAGCCCTGGCTCCAAATACGTAACAGTGAGTTTCTAAGTGAGTCACACGGATGCGGCTGGTCTCCAGTGAAACATAACTCATCGCCTCACTTTTCTCAACGGTTCCCTCTTCGGAAGGAAGCGCAGGCCGCAGCGTCGTCTGAGGGCGTGATCGCCTTCGTCGTACCCGCGTCTCCAGTGGCCACCCCTTGTCCTGCAGGAACGCGCATCTGCTTAGCAGGCGCTGAGCCCTTGAGGAGGCCTAAAATGAATGAATGCTGCTTTGCCTCCTGAGCGGGCTTAACAGCTGTGGGTGGGGGACAGGAGGGTGTCCATGCCTAACTAAGGCCAACGGTGGTAAGACAGACGTTCTTCCCAGGAGGAGATCAATTCCAGGAGGGAGGCATTCCTGGGAGTCACCTTTCTCCGAGGAAGTGACCCGAGCTGTAGGAGGTGGAATCACAAAGGCTTTGGCATCCTACATACCTGGGTTTTAGCCTCAGCTTGAGTCACTCAACATATGTGACGCTGAACACATCAGCAAACCTCAAATCTTCTCCACTTTTAAGATGAAGTTAATAGCAGGCACCATAGCACGTGCCTGTAACCCCAGATACTCGGGAGGCTGAGGCAGGAAGATCGCTTGAACCTGTGAGGTGGAGGTTGGAGTGATCCGAGATCGCACCACTCACTCCAGCTTGGGCAAGGGATCGAGACTTCGTCTCAAAAAAAAGAAAAAAAAAAAAAAAGCAGGTAGCACTACATGGCTGATAGCACATTTTTGAGGAGCATCTCTCCTTATTCGTGCTTAGGTTTATCCCTCCCTCCTTCCCTCCCTTCCTTCCATTTCTCTTCATTTCTTTTTTTCTCCTTCATTCCTTCATTTTTCTTATTTTTTTCTAACTCACATAATTTACACACAATAACCTGCACATATCTTAAGAGGACAGCTGGGTGAACTTTTGCATAAATATATACATGTCATTAGCCCCCCCAGGTCAAGATATAGAACATTTCTATCACCCCAGGTTTCCAACTGCTCCTTCCCAGACAATAGTACCACCCGAGGGGTAACCCCTATTCATTTGGACTTAAATTACCAAGTATGAGTTGTGTCTGCTCGTCAACTTCAGGTAATTGCAATCAAGTGGTGTACTTTATTCCAGACTTGTCCAACCTGCATAGGTTTTGAACGTGGCCCAACACAAATTCGGAAACTTTGTTAAAACATGAGATTGTGTGTGTGTGTGTGTGTGTGTGTGTGTGTGTGTTGAGACAGCCTCTGTCGCCCAGGCTGGAGGGCAGTGGTGCGATTTGGCTCACTGCAACCACCACCGCCGAGGTTCAAGCGATTCTTGTGCTTCAGCCTCCTGAGTAGCTGGGATTCCAGGCTCGCGCCACCACGCCTAGCTAATTTTTGTATTTTTAGTAGAGATGGGGTTTCACCATGTTGGCCAGGCTTGTCTCAAACTCCTGAACCTCAAGTGATCTGCCTGCCTTGGCCTCCGAAAGTGCTGGAATTACCAGCTTGAGCCACTGCACCTCGCCTTAATGTACACTTTTCTAAAGGCTGATGATGGCGACTGCCATTTCATGGCCTTATTTGCTATGCATTTATTCTCATTGGTGGAAGGTCTGTTCAAATCTTTTACCTGTTTTTTTTTTTTTTTTTTAAATCAGGTTTGTTTGACGGAGTCTTGCTCTGTTGCCCAAGCTGAAGTGCAGTGGCATGATCTCACTGAAACCTTTGCCTCCTGGGTTCAAGTGATTCTCCTGCCTCAGCCTCCCGAGTAGCTAGCTGGGGTTACAGGTGCTTGCCACCATGCCCAGCTAATTTTTGTATTTTTAGTAGAGATGGGGTTTTACCATGCTGGCCAGGCTAGTCTTGAACTCCTGACTTCGTGATCTGCCTGCCTTGACCTCCCAAAGTGCTGGGATTACAGGAATGAGCCACCACATCCGGCCAAAATCAGATTGTTTTCCTACAATTGAATTTTGCGTGTTCTTTTAATATTCTGGATACAAGTCCTTTATTAAAAAGACTCTTGCATTGACTTTGCACCTGGCAGTTTGTGAAAAGTCAGTTGGCCATATTTGTGTAAATTTATTTCTGTACCATTTGTTTCATTAATCTGTGTCTATCCCTTCACTGGCAGGACACTGTCTTTGCTATAGCTTTAAAGGAAGTCTTAACGCTCTCCAACCTTGTTCTTTTTCCAGTTTATTTGGGTATTTTACTTCCTTTGACTTTCCCTATATATTTTAGGCTTGTCTATATATTTTGACAATCCTGCTGGGGATTTTGTTCTCTTTTTGCTTTGTTTTGTTTTTGAGACAGGGTCTCAGTCTGTAGCCCCTGATGGAGTGCAGTGGTGGCCACCATAGCTCACTGTAACCGAAAACTCCTGGGCTCAAGGGATCTTCCTGCCTCAGCCTCCTGAGCAGCTAGGATCGGAGGTGTGCACCACCACACCTGGCTAATTAATTAATTAATTAATTTTTTTTGCTGAGATAGAGGATTCTGCCCATACAGGTCTAAACATTCCTGGCCTCAAGTGATCCTACCGTCTCAGTCCCTAAAGTGCTGGGATTACAGGTGTGAGCCACTGTGCTCCACCACATGGGGGATTTTGATTTTTTGATTGTATTTGTATTAAATTTATTTTTTTTTTCGAGAGTCTCCCACTGTCACCCAGGCTGGAATGCAATGGCATGATCTCAGCTCACTGCAAACTCGGCCTTCTGGGTTCAAGCAATTCTCCTGTTTTAGCCTCCCAAGTAGCTGGGATTACAGGCACCCACCACCCCACCTGGCTAATTTTTTGCATTTTTAGTAGAGACAGGCTTTCACTATGTTGCCTAGCTGGTCTCGAACTCCTAACTTTGTGATCCATCTGTCTCAGCCTCCCAAAGTTCTGGGATTATAGGCATGAGCCACCACTCTTGGCCATATTTGTGTTAAATCTGTAGATCAATTGGAGAAGAATGGACATCTTAAATATATTGAGTCGACCAGTCTGTGAATATGGTATGCCTTTCCATTTATTTAGATTGTTTTATTTCTTTCATCAGGATTTTTTGGTATTCATATATAGATCCTTTACATGGTTTGTCAGATATATGGTAGACTATTTTTTGAACCCACTGTGATTTTAAAAATTCAGTTTCCAGATATTCACTACTATCATAGGGAATTATAGTTGGTTTTCATGTGTTAACCTTGCATCCTACAATCTTGCTAACCTGACATTGGTTTTAGAAGGTTTCTATGGAATCTAGGAGATTTTTTTTAATAGACAATCATGTTGTTTGTGAATAGGGACTAGGGACAGTTGCGTTTTCTCTTTTCCAATCTGTATGACTTTTATTACATTTTATTGTCTTATTTCACAAGATAGGACTTTCTGTGCAACGCTGAGTAGGAGGGGTGAGATGGACTCCTTGACTTGTTCCTGATCTTAGGGGAAAAGAAGCATTACATCTTTCACAGTAAGTATGTTTAGTTATAGGCTTTTCTGTAGGTGTGCTTTATCAGTTTAGAGAGCTCTGCTTTATTCCTCACTTGCCGAGTGCTTGTACTGTGATGTTGCATATTGTCAACTGATGTGGTCTTGTTGCAGACTACATTTATTGTTTTCAAATATTGCATCCTGGGAATAAACCCCACTTGGTCATGATGTGTAATTTTTTAAAATGTATCACTGGATTCAATTTGTTAGTATTTCACATCTGTATTGATGAGGGATATTGATTTATGATTCATGAAGATTTTTTTTTTCTTTTTAAATTTTCTTTACCTGGTTTTAGTATCATGGTAATGCTCATCTCATAAAATGAATTAGAAGCATTCCTTCCACTTCTGTTTTCTGGAAGAAACTATGTAGAGCTCATGTTATATCTTTCTAAAATCTTTGGTACTTTTGCGGATGAAGCCAGGAAATCTTTTTATTCTTTTTTTTTTTTTTTGAGACAGAGTCTTGCTCTGTCACCCAGACTGGAGTGCAGTGGCGTGATCTTGGCTCGCTGCAACCTCCGCCTCCCAGGTTCAAGTGATTCTCCTGCCTCAGCCTCCCGAGTAGCTGGGATTATAGGTGCCTGCCACCACATCTAGCTAATTTTTTGTATTTTTAGTAGAGACAGGGTTTCGCTGTGTTAGCCAGGCTGGTTTCGATCTCCTGACCTTGTGATTCACCTGCCTTAGCCTCCCAAAGTGGAAGATTTCTTTTAAGAAAGATTCTAAACTAGAAATCCAACTTTTTTTTTTAAATAAAGGTTTTATTTAGGTTTTTTATTTATTCTTGGATGAGTCTTGGTAGCTTGTGGCCATCAAATAATTGATCCATTTTATCTAAGTTGCCAAATTTATGTGTGCACAGTTGTTTGTGTAATTTGTTACCCTTTTAGAGTCTGTGGGGTGTACAGTGATAGCCTATCCTTCATTCCTAGTAATTGGTTTTGATGGTTTTTAAAAGCAATTAATTTCCTATTTTCAATTCCAATGATTTCTGCTATAATAATTATTATTATATTTGTTTTATTCTGCTTGCTTTAGGCTTATATTGTTTTCTTTTTATAGTTTCTTAAGGTGGAAGCTTGGATTCTTGATACTAAATCTTTCTTCTTTTCTAATATATGCATTCAGTGCTAAAAATGTCCATCAAAGCACTGCTTTTACTGTATATCACAAGATATGGTAAGTTGTATTTTCATTTTTATTTGGTTAAAAACATTAAAAAATTTCTCTTGAGACTTTTTATTTTACAGAGATGTTATTTAGAAATATGCTGTTTATTCTCTAAATATTTTCAGCATTTCTACCTCTCTGTTACTACCTTTTAAAAATTATTTATTTGTATATTTTTGATTTTTTACTTTTTAGTTTTAATTCCACTGTTGCCCGACAGCAACATTGTATGATTTATGTTCATTTAAGTTTGTGGCCAGAATATGGTCTAGGTGGGTGAATGGTCCACGAGCTCTTGTGAAGAATGTGTATTCTGATGTTGATGGATGAAGTAGTCTATGGATGGCAATTTGATCCAGTTGATTGATGATGCTGTTTAGTTTTTCTGTATCCTTACTGCCTGCTGAATCTGTCAGTTACTGATAGAGGGGTGTTCAAGTCTTCAACCGTAGTAGTTGATTTGTCTATTTCTCCTTGGAGTTTTTTTTTTAAATATGGAATCTCGCTCTGTCATCGAGGCTGGAGTGCAAATGGTGGGATCTTAGCTCACTGCAACCTCTACTTCCAGGGTTCAAGTAGTTCTTCTGCCTCAGCCTCCCAAGTAGCTGGGACTACAGTCACCCACCATCACACCTGGCTAATTTTTGTATTTTTAGTAGAGGCGGGGTTGTACCATATTGGCTAGGCTGGTCTTGAACTCCTGACCTCAAGTGATCCTCCTGCCTTGGCCTGCCAAAGTGTTGGGATTATAGGTGTGAGCCACTAGACTACCTTTTTTTTTTGAAACAGAGTCTTGGTCTGTCGCACAGGCTGGAGTGCAGTGGATCATGCGGCTCACTGCAACCTCTGTCTCCCATGTTTAAACGATTCTCCTGCCTCACCCTCCTGAGTAGGTGGGACTATAGGTGTGCACCATTAGGTCTGGCTAATTTCTGTATTTTTAGTAGAGATGGGGTTTCACTATGTTGGCCAAGTTGGTCTCAAACGCCTGGCCTCAGGTGATCCGTCCGCCTTCGCAATTCCCCCAGTTTTTGTTTATCTGAGAAAGTCTTTGTTTCTCCTTTATTTTTGAAGGATAATTTCACTGGATACAGAACTCTAGGTTGGTGAGTTTTTTCTTTCTTTTAAAATATTTCATTCCACTATTGTCTTGCTTGCATTGTTTCTGATGAGAAGTCTGACATAATTCTTACCCTTCTTCTACTACAGACAAGGTATTTTTATTTTGCTTTCTTTCTCGATATCCTCTTTGGCTTTGGTTTTCTGCAGTTTGAGTATGATATGCCTAGGTAGAGACTTTTTGGTGTTTATCCCGCTTGGTATTCTCTGATCTTCCTGGACCCGTGTTTAGATATCTGTCATAAATTTTGGAACATTCCTAGTGATTATTACTTTGAATATTTCTTTTGCTTATTTCTCTCTTCTTCTGCTATTCCCATTAAACGTATATTAGGCCTTTTATAATTGTCTCACGTGATATTCTGTTTGAGCATTTTCTTTCTTTTTTTCTTTTTCTTTCTTTCCTCTCTCTCTCTCTCTTTCTCTCCCTCTCTCTCCCCCTCTCCTTTCTCTATTTCTTTTTCTTTCTTTCTTTTGACAGAGTCCCGCTCTGTCACCCAGGCTACAGTGCAGTGATGTGATCTTGGCTCACTGGCTCACTGCAACCTCCACCTCCCAGGTTCAAACAATTCACCTGCCTCAGCCTCCTGAGTAGCTGGGATTACAGGCACCCACCACTATGCCTGGCTAACTTTTGTATTTTTAATAGAGATTGGGTTTTGCCATGCTGGCCAGGCTGGTCTCAAACATCTGACCTCAGGTGATCTGCCCGCCTTAGCATCCCAAAGTGCTGGGATTATGGGTGTGAGCCACAGCAACTGGCCCTGTTTGAGCATTTTCACTATCTCTTTTTTTTTCCCCATTTTAATTTGGGAAGTTTCTGTTGACATATCTCACAGCTCACTGATTCTTTCTTCAGGCACGTATAGCCTGCTGATGGTCTTATAAAAAAGGCATTTTTCATTTCTCTGACAATGTTTTTAATTTCTAGAATTTTCTTTTGATTCATTCTTTTAGTTTCCATCTCTCTACTTGTATCTCCCTTCCATTCTTGCATGCCATCTGCCTTTTCCCTTACATCCTCAGTTATTTTAAATTCCCTACCTGATAATTCCAAAGTTTGTGCCATATCTGAGTCAGGGTCTTACAGATACTTTGTCTCTTCAGACTGTTTTTTCTTGTCTGTTAGCATCCTTGTAATTTTCTGTCCAAAGTCAGACACGATGTATCAGGCAATAGGAACTGAGATGATTGGCTTTTACCACGAGGATTTATGTTCATCTGGCCAGGAGCAGACCTGTGTTTAACGTTTGCTGTATCTGTAGGTGTCAGATGCTTCCTCTAGTTTCCTTGTTCTTTTTGTTGTCTTTGGGTTACCCCAAAACCTCCTTCTTCAATGGAGTCTGTGCTTTGCAGCTCTCTCCTTTGCAATCCTGTTTCCTCTGCTATTACACAGGAACTCTGTTGATGTGATAGTTTGAGGGAGAGGAGGTGCTCTCTAACCATCTGATTAAATCTCAGTTTTTTAATGGCTCTGAAACCTCTAAAGGTGGACTGTGATCTTCAGAAGCTGTTCTTAGCCTTTTTTTTTTCTTCTTTTACCTGATACAGGAAGGCTAGAGGGGCTGGAGTTGGTTAATTGCCATTCCCCCAAGATAAGACTCAGGTAAAATAGTTTCCCTTGGAAGGCAGCCCGTTATTAGAGAGAACTCTCTCAGTGTTTTTCAGAATGGTTACTTACCCCGTGGATATATTTTTAAATGGCTACTTTTCCTTTTCCCCTGCCTGAAACCGTGGTGAGGCTCCTGGAAATAAAACCTGTGACAGTGTGGGGCCCCTCTAAGACTCGGCCCTCAGGAGAGCTTAAAACAGAAGTTATATTAAGTTTAAAGATTATCTAGCTATATTTCTCTTAAGATTTCTGATTTTGTAACTGCACAAGGGATTCACCTTGCCCACTGCCTAGACAGAGCAGATTCATCAAGACAGGGGAACTGCAACAGACAAAGAGTAATTCATGCATAGCGGACTGTGCAGGAGACCAGAGTTTTATTATTACTCAAATTTGTCTCCCCGAGCATTCTGGGAGCAGAGTTTCTAAGGACAACTTGGTGGATGGGGGAAAGCCAGTGAGCCAGGGGTGCTGATTGGTCCGGGATGAAATCATAGGGAGTCAAAGCTGTCTTTTTGCTCTGAGTCAGTTCCTTGGTGGGAGCCACAACATCAGATGAGCCAGTTAATCCATCTGAGTGGTGCCAGCCGATCCATTAAGTGCAGGGCTGCAACATATCTCCAGCCCTGATCTTAGGAGCAGTTTACGGAGAGTCAGAATCCTGTAGCCTCCAGCTGCATGACTCTTAAACCATCATTTCTAATCTTGTGGCTCATGTGAGTCCTACAAAGGCAATCTAGTCCCCAGGCAAGAAGGAGGGCTGCTTTGGGAAAGGGCTGTTATCATCTTTGTTTTAAACTATAAACTAACTAAACTTCTCCAAGAGTTAGTTCAGCCTATGTCCAGGAATGAATAAGGACAACGTGGAGGCTAGAAGCAAGATGGAATCGGTTAAATTAAATCTTTCACTATCTCAGTCATAATTTTGCAAAGGCGGTTTCGGTCTCCACTGTGGTTATAGAACACATTTTATATGATTTCACTTCATATTTTCTGCTCTTTCAATTCAGTATTTTGTATGATTTCAGTTCAGTCATACAAAAAATGCAACTACTAAAAATACAAAAATTAGCC